CAAAATCTGGTTGCAAAATGAGCATTCTACTCTGCATGACTGACTGTAAAGGTTCAACAAATTCAGTTTACTGCAGGAACCGACCCACTTGGTTTGCGGCTTGAATCAGGTCGTGGAAATCCCTCCTGACGCATTTGTTAGCTGTCCCTAGTGCATGGGGACGTTAGAGTAACCACATTGTCTTTTTATTCAGCACTGAGCGGTAGTCCGCTGCCAGCGTCCTCAGGACCTGAACATCATAAACATGTCGTTTCCAGGTTATAGGCATCAAATCTATTCCCCTTAGGATTGAATGTGACTTTGTGCGCGTCTGCTGGCAGATAGGTTGTGCTGCCCCCAGTTTCAAGCATCAGTTCACAGAATTTGTTTCTTCCTTAGAATATAGGGTAACGAGTCGAAATGCAGGCTATCATAATCTAGCACGATTCAAATTGCTCAGATTAGATAATAAGGCTGACTCACTTGGTTCAGCAGTAGCAGCAATCAAACCAAACATCTACTAAGGCAAATGCCATAAAATGCTCCTACCAGCAGCTCTCTGCGTCTGTGGTAGATGAAGCATCACAACTGCTCACTTGGGTCTACTTCCCTACGGCGGACGCTCATGAGCCTCCCTACAGAGAAGAACGGATGCAGCACCATACACTATCGCTAGTCGATCACAACGGAAGCTTGAGTAGCCAGTCTGCTCAACTTCGTTGGCGAATACCACAATGTTCAGCCACGTTTCTGCGACTTCCCCTTCAACTGGTCGCTCGTAAGCAACGAAGCGGCATGGTTAAATACCCTTGTTCATAGCAGTGCAGACTTTTGTTTAAGACTATATGCAGGCCGCAATAGGAAAAACCAGGAGTACCTAAGAAGTAAGAGACCGATCTGTCCGATTTCGAGTTTTTGTATCCACATGAAAAATTGCAGTACGTAACTTGGTTTCTCAATTGCCGTTCACCTCTTTTCTGTGATTATGGCACAAATATAACTGTCGTAGGATTCATTCGTACACGCGGTTACTTCAAGGCATTAGTCTAAATATCTTAACTTGCCATGCCAGTCATCGGACAAAATGTTTACTCTGCCAAATTTTTCCTCCTCAGATTCTTAGTTATCTTCAAGGCCGAGGAACATGGAAATACAGCTCCAAAGAAAAGGAAGTTGTCAAGCGTGGAAGGTGTGTTCTATAAATGACCCAGTGATCTAAACAATATACGTGAATATAAGTAACTAGTACACTGTAGCATTAACAAGCCGACTTGATTTCATGCCAATAGATAAAAAACGTTGTTTGGTTCTGTGGGGGAAATCATAAAGTATCTAATTGCTCTAAGAATATTGGACACCAGGATGCAGTATATTTCGATTTTAATTCTGTGTTTATACCTGCCTTTGATTTTCACATCCTCCTAGATGTATTAGTGGTTCTTCTTGATGTGCTACAGGCTTCGGAGTCACTGCTAATGGACTATGATGTACCATGTAGTGCATCTAGGACACCTTGTTGAATGATGCATAATTACAACCAAACGGAGGATTCAAATTTGGAACAAATTTGACATTGGAAGTATTGTTGCTTCTCCCAACACAGACACACCACGACCGCAATTTCTTTCTGGTTTGACTCCTGGTGGAGATATCCGGAGCTGAGCTAGAGCTCATAGCCTGGCGGTTCATGGCTGACATCCTGATCACTATGACAAATCCAGCTTGGAATTGCAATTTGACATTCTCCAGTTCTTTCAACTTGTTAATAGAAAGAGTCAGTTCTTGAAATTTTTATTTTAAGTTCCTTCTTAGCCTACCGAATAAAAGAATTTATTTAGGACTATGACCTTCTTATGGTCAACCTCTGATTCCTGCATCAATGAGAATCACGTTTTCGGCACTAAATATGACATGACATGACAGGCGTGGCGGGCTGTGTTAACCCGGTCAGTCAGAAAAGGTGTCGGCGGACGAACTCAGGTCGGAGGGTGAATCAGCAGCTGCAAAAAAGGAATGCCTCACATGTGAACGACCGGTGGCGTGGATCAATGAGAAACGCTCGATGCTTGCTGTTTCACTAACATGGCCACATGACCTATTGACCTGTAACACTATTATCCAATGGTTCATGTCTTGCAACCTTCACCTTACGTTCCCATAGATAGCTAAGCCAGTTTTGTACCGATGCACAGAGCCTGAAGAAGCTTTTGTATCAAGGGAGAAAAGTTGCCTCCATAAAACCCTACCAAAACCGACTTGTATTGAAAATATGCTGAAATCATGGAATTCCAGTCGGTTCCAAGCATATTCCTACATATTGACTGCATCTACTTATTTTGATCTTTTCTGTGTATTGCCTTGCTAACCTATATGTGAACACTATGTCTACTAAACTACTAATGTAATCCAGCTTCCATTTACACTTTGGTGTGCAAGATAAAAGCGTTGCTTGAATTCAGCAGATTAAGGAAGTGTTTGCATTTTATTTCTTCTGTTCCCTATTTATTTACTCAGGTAGATTCACAGATTTGTTGAGCTGCACAGTGCCGAAATCATTCTGCTGCGCTACCTGGTAAACTGGACATGACATACGCTTCCAGTGATTGACGTTGGCCGTTGTGAGATGATGCTTATTCCTGGCTGCCACCGGGAAAATCGCGTTAGTCTACTGTTATCCGTCGTCTGATGGGGCTGCCGTGAGGTGAATCGTTTTGCCGGGTTGGGTTGCTTCCCAAGATTTCTTTGTTTGACTGTCATTTCCCTCAACAACGTATCCTGGCCAAATAGCACCGTTGTCTGTCACTTGTTTTCTATTTCTTCAGTAAGAAGAATCGGATACAAACACTATTGCTCCATTTCGCCCCCCATACTTAAAATGAAACTTTTAATGTAAACGATTCACGTCTTTCAAATTGTCGCCAGCTTCCTAGATGTTGCTTAGATCCGGTTGCCTTGGCTACTTGGTGCTGTGTGCCACCGCAAGTGGATACATTCCAGTCACTCTGCAGGCCCATCAAAAACTGAAAAGCCCTGTGTGTAAAACTGTACTACAATCCTTCCTACAATTATGGACTACGGTACTGGTCTACAGCTTGCCATAAATCCGTGTGGATTACTTAGGCATTAGTAACTATCTTCGCACAGTGAGTGGCAGAGCCACACATTCGTCTACTCCCTTTTCGTACTATTCATTCCTTAAGCTATATTGTGGTTGTGGTTGCTTAGTAGCACAGACTTCGGCTGACGTCCCAAATGTCTCACGCTCGAGTCGCAGAGCTGCTATCCCGTTCTGAAGAGGACAAATTAGCACGACACTGGACGTGGAACGCAATATCGCACGCGGATCACACCTGAAATTCATACGATCATTCGAATACTCGTTGAATTGAAAGCGTCGATGGATATTGACGCTACTGTTTCTTCACCGATGAAAAAGCTGATTTGTCAAAGCTGCAACATGTCAAGTTTCCCCGACTCTAATGTTAATACAAAGTCTTTAATCACAAGTACGGCATTCCTTACAATCTTTCGTTGATTCCTCTAAATATGAAATAAATCACAGAAAACAGTCATCTGTAATCCCACGTAGCATGTAAGGCTTACAGTATCACGTGACTCATGACCCACCATGGCTTTTAAGGTCTGAGCTGATTCCTGCCTCGTCTATTTGTTTAAAACCTGATTTTTGCGATCACTCTAGCGTTTGATTACGATGTAAACTACTATTTATGATTACATCGGGTTCAAACAATGCTTCCAGCATAAGGCAGGTCACAATCAGGTCACCTATCTGCATGCGTCTGGTACGCAGAACATGAATGGGAGGTATGGTGATGTACGGGGAATCAGCCTCAAATTAGATAAGACCGACGTCCGTATACACACCAACCATTTGTGTTTGCAATGGACATATGTATGGCACGGAACAACCATAGACGATAGCTAGGTAGGTGCAAGTGCTCTTAACCGTTCTCAGCCGTGATGACGTCCTAATTAAAGAAAGAAAGCGGTCCAGAGTGTTTTTCGTAAAATTTTGAAGATATAGCATTTTTGAGTTTTTAGATCCGGAAAAGATGCCAGATCCATCCATTTCTTAGGAACACCACCGAAATCTGTTTTTGCCTGGTAATGTTATGAATAAGCTCTTCCAAATTGCACAGCCAAACGAATTACCTACACTTCATGAACTTGAAAATGCAAACCTATCCTCAACTGATTCATGAGCATCGCAGTATCCCTCTAGAAGAAACTCTCATTGTACTTGCACTTGCGAAATCATCACGATTCTCAACCCTGCACACCATACTTATAGCAATGGCTAAAAGGTTGCTTATGACCCGCAGTTCATAACGCTCATCCGCATACATCTACAGATGCATTGTATCAGATCCGATTAAATCCGCGCAGTATTTTTCTATCAGTGAATTCCTAACTACGGGAGAACGGAAGAAATTCATTGCTTTCGTGACATGGAGGCATAACGCATAATTGAATGAAACGGAAGGAGGAATTGACCGAAAAATGAGCCGGCCAGCAATCGAGCCGGAGATGGCGAACCGTGCGCCGATAAGCCTAAAGAGTCCAAAAGAAGTTCAATTGCGTAACAAGGATAATTTATGAAGTCGCAGTTGGTGCCATCGTAAGCTAATCTTTGTATCGCATAAAAGTCACTTGACCTCTTTGATGAAGATCAGTGATATCATCCTGCTCATTCCCAGTTGTTGTCCATGAAGAAATTGGGTAAGTGTAAGAGATTTCACCGATACGCTCCTTAAGTTTTTTCTTCAAATGCGCTTGAACAGTCTTCTACTGAGGACGTAGGTTAACTAATAACAGTCCACTTCTGTGCTAGAAAAGAAGTTAACGAATAGAAACAATTTTGTAAAAGAATATTCCATAAATGATGCGAGGACAAAGTGATAACAAAAAACAGAACATCACGGCCTCCTGCTTCTGGTCACACAGCTTTCGTAGTTTTTATCTCTTTTACAATGCAGAGCGAGCGTGTTGCCTTTTCAAACGACCAGCATTGTAACCAGTTTTGTGGCCCCATTAGTGCTTCGCCTTGATACTCCTCCACTGATACATGCGGGATCACGACAAGGCTCGGCAGAGTTTGTACCTGCAGATTCGAAACAAATCCTGCATGATAGTTTATGGGCCAACGGACATGTTTGCACGAAATTCGAGTGTCTTCGTCGATCACTCTGGGAAGAAGATCTCATGACTCGGTCGCAGTCGAAATGGGATATATGGTTGGGCAATAAGTTCCTCCGCTGGGCGCAGCAGGGTGCGACTCCAAAATTATTTTCCGTTTTGGGTGGGGAAGTTGGTTTTGTGTTTGAACGTTTGTGACAGAACCCTGTTGTAGAGGAATATAGGTTATTTGGGGAGCGTACTGCGGATATTGTTCCGGCTGGATCTGCAGCACGGTCAACGGAACGGCCACACACTGCAGAACATGAAGTAGGGGGTTTAGGCGATGCATGTGGTGGCTGACAAGCTCTTGTTTTCCTCATACGCAACTGATCAGAAGAAGTGGCCTGCAATGCCGTGCTATTGAGAAAACACGGGTTATGGGCGGGTATCGATGTTTGTATATCGGGGGTCTCATTCCGTGTTGAGTCGGGCTCATGACCGGTAGATTTGCAGTGCAGATGACTTTTATGCCTGTGTAGCGTAAAAAACAACGAGATCGGTAAAATAGGTGAAATGCTTAATGCAAGCTTATCCTATTGTGTCTAGTTTATTAATCAACTGCAGAATTCGGGTTGTGGTTAGCTCTGGAGGTCAATATCAGTGAACTGTTATAGCAAGTGAATTCATGAACACACGACGAATGACCGCTTTAACACCTATCAAATGTTGTGAGTAGACATCAGTGGGCGGCGTATTGTTTGCCGTCAATGCATATTTAATCGGGTAGGATACTAGACCAAAACAAGGGGCGCACAATTCTCCTGCTTAAGTCAACTCACTTGGACTGAGTTGGTTTCTTGTAAGACAAATATCTGGTTCCGTTTGGACGCCTTTTGATTTTCCATTTCTTCGCAGTGAGAGTGATGATTCGCATTGATTCTAAGCGCTGTAACGTTTCCTCAGAATGCAACATATTGATCCACTCTTGGGTATGCTTACCGGCTTCTTGTTCGTTTGCTACAGATGTCGCATTGCTTAATGTGGGGTTAGTCTCTACAGAACTGGTCAGTTCCTTATTCGCCAAGTTAAACGGCTCCCTAGTAGCTCCGGTTTCCTGTTCATTAAGAAGAGTTTGTCTCGGGGTGGGACGATAAATTTTACTTGAGATATCCGTTTGGGACCTGGAAAGTGGCCACGTGAAGCTGAGAGTAGTGGTCTCTGTATCTTCAGAACATTCTGAAGTAGAATTCGATCTCGATCGACCAGTTAGATGCCCGGTGGAATTTGTCGACTCCTTAGTTCTTTCCGATATTGGAGTGAGACTGTACTTGGTGAGGCTGTATCGGTTGAATAATTTTCGTATATCGCGAGACATACTGCTGGATCCAGTTCGTGCGGACGCCAATAATAATTGCAACGTGACATGTCTCCTGTCTTTGTGAACTCTGTTGTCCTCACGATTATCATTTGTAGCTGTTTGTCCATCTGCTAATGCAAAAAGAAACAGTACAAACAAGTGCGTTAACACGCTTTAACAAGCATTAAATAAACTGAATCATATTGGCTGGCCTTGGAAAATAGATTGTCGTTTGTTTATTCGGCCCTCTGTTAAACAATGAAATTATTCTACAAAGCATGCATTCAGAACTCTGCCAGAATTGACCAATACAAAGGTGGGAATAAGGGTTCAACCACGTATTCGTTATAAAGTCATGCAGCTCACCTTGCTTTTCTGTGTCAACAGGGTGTATTCCCCTTTCGTGAATGTTTCCATCCGGTGGAAGGGCATGTGCAGTGGTAGAAGTTGTTCTCGACGCAGTCACATGCTGCACGACTGGCAAGCTTGTGCCCATTCGCGGAACTCGTGGACGCGGCCTTTGTGGATGGATAGCCAACATAGGTGGTGTGTATTGCCATGGTAACACAGGATTAGACTGAGGCTCAATTAAATTTGCCTTGCGATGCTTGGTCGCTGGAACAGGAGGTGGGGGCTCCAATGGTGGCAAAGGGATAGACGGCTGCCTACTAGAGACAAAGCCACACTGTGAGGGAAGATTCAACAAATCGGACGATTTGCCGAACGTGTCGTTTTGCGGAATCGGAGGTAGGGGTCGATTAACAGTTATAGCATGCTGAAATAGAAGGGTATTTTGGAAGGAGTAAGAAAAGCGTAGCGACGCAGTAAATTGCAAATTGCAATTGCAAATAATGGGGTCATAAAATAAAGCTCCCTAATTCACATGAACACTGGCCAGGTCGCCTATACAAGACTTAGTATTAGTGCATCAAGGAACATATTTAGTAACCTAGAAAAGTATGGTGACTCAGCACTGTCAGAGCAATATTTTGCCATATAGTTTGACGATATAATAAGTTACGGGTTGTATGATGGAAAAACTCACACTAAGAGCCGGTTGTGGCAAACTGGTATGGCAACAAGCGTCACGAAGTCGTGATGAGTGACGAATTCTTATGACAGATTACGATGAGCTACGTATTTTCGTTGCAATCAAGTAGCGAAATTTTAAAGAATGGAAGCTGACACCTCAGGAGTTGTAACGAAAACATGTGGTTTACACACAGGGGAGAGGAAGAACGAGATCATTTTCAGGTTCCTCGAGACAAACCACACAGATATCATAGCTGGTTACTAACTACGTTTCTTTGAAACGTTGGTGGATTTATTATGGTATTCCTATCTAGGTCCTGCATATGAATAGGTGCAGCTTGTCCCAGTAAGAGGTGCGAGTTGTTATCATATTTTTTCACTAAAAGAAGAGCAGCGAGCAAGCTGTTTTGTAATGTCAGGCCAGATAGACGAAATTGAAATTTTGTGGATGAACTGGTAAAAACAACGCGAAATGTGGGACGTTTCGCTGTTGCTTTTTCTATCCCTGCGCTAAACGATGCGCTTCATCCTTATTTGAAATCATCTGGTTGAGGTAACCTGAGTTGGGAGTGGAACTCCATGGTCCACTTCTTACGGCCGTATCAGGCTTTGTTCGCGGAACTCATTGGCTTGGTGATCATGGAGATAGCCGCCGATCCCTAAGTGCCTAGTTCCAATCCCAATTCAGGCTTTCCTTACCTGATGATTCCAAACACGGACGAAATGCTTTGCGGAATTCAAGAATGGAATAGAAACACAGAAACGCCTCACGTCGGATATGGTCCCAGTGATCGGAATGACTTTCACTTCCAATGTAACCTAAGTTAATATTGAGGTTGCGTATCGCAATCCAAGACACACTGCTGGTTATTCAAACTCCGACATTTAGAGCGAAATATTTCTACTATCCCGGACGAACCTTCCGCCACTTACGAGGGGAATATAAGATACAGGTCATGGGCCATCATGTACGGTTCACCCTCATGGTGGCAGCTGTTCTTCAGTGGACGTTTCTTCAGAGGACGAAGATGGAAAGCTACTTCAGATTCAGCACAGGTGAATTTGTAGCTGACGATCAGTGACTCAGCAAAGGAGATACAAACTTATGTGCGGGCACGAACCATTGAAGTAACTACGGGTTACCAAAATAGACTCAGGCGAAGAACGTCGGGAATACCACGTCTTCGGTTGAACGCAGACGGATTATTCCATATAGCGACATAATTTTATATCTTACTTACCAACATAGACGTTGTACTCAGAAGCGGGTAGCTGATGGCGACAGATTCACTCAAAAGAATTAAACGAGCGAAAAGATTAACGACACACTAGACGACTGAAGCGAACAGGTGATATACCTTTACGGGTCTCAGTTCATAACTTGATATGTTGCACAGCAGAAAAAACGACACAGCAGTGCCGCAGTTACCTAGTAATAAGAGGCATGTAACCAATAGTATGACACCGCATGTTGAACGGGCTTAGACCATTTACTCGGTTAACAATTCTGCAAACTCAAATTTAGCTGCAAAGATGAAGACTTCAACCCACACATTGTCCACTGTATGAAGGACATGAGTATTAAACAGCAAGCACTGTGTTTCCATATGCGCAGTTTTCCTGGTGTGAGTCCGACATCAGGGTAATTCATAAATGTTTTAGTGCTTTCAAAAACAAATTAGTATAGGTGATGAACTGCATGTCACAAAGAATCACCATAGTGTCAGAAGACATCAAAAAAGTGTACCCAGCTAACCCTTTGACCGCACGCCGGATGATCATGTCAATTAAGTGCGCTCCGTTGTGGAACAGTTATAAAGAGGTTATCTTTTCTCTTGGTACTGAGAAACCCAGTCGATAAAGGGACGGATCAGATTTACATCTGCAGTATGCTCAGGCATGTGATGCTTTCAGTGGTTTGGGTTTTTACAATGTTAAATATGGAAGATTTTGCGAATATATTCTCCTTCGGAACTTTTGTACCTGCATGCTACCAATTCGCAGGCATTCTCATTTGGTTGTTTCCAGTGCAGCTTGGTGGTGCCTTAATGACCGATTTAATGGTGGGATGGTAGGATTGTGAAAGGATGAAGCAGTTGGATTTACCCATCAAGATCAGATGAGTAATACACAATCTTACTTAATAGACTGTAATACAATTAGAGGTATTTGTGAGTAGCAAGTTAGGGAGTTGCGAAAAGAAATAAAAACTGTATCAAGGTAATTCCAGTGGATCAGCAAACAAATTGCCTTAGCAGAATACTATAGACACAACTTAGTGAGTCAATGCAGAGGGTAGTGTCTAGATATTCCTACGTCTAATTATGGAATTGAGCTAACCAAGATGTGTTTTGGGCTGCTAGATGGTTGTTATGCTGGGTGAGCTTAGTTGAATTCCTATCAGCTCTCACTTGTAAGTGGATATTTAGGGCGTGCTTAACTATGCACGGAAAAGTTAATGATACTTAAACAGTTAAGTAGACAAAGAAATAATTGTCCATGCACTGCAAAGTCAGAACTTATTCAGTGGATTGTAGTCTTGTAGAAGATGTAAAAGACGGTGATTCGGAAAGTGTGCAATAGTTAACCGATGTTTAGCGTAAAGGCAGAGAGGAAAGGCACCACAGCTAAGATCAGGGCTGTGATCTAAGGAATAAGTTAATGGGAAATATCGGTAAGACAGCGAGGTGGGGATGAAATAACTGGGGGCCGAAAGAACAGGAGATTCAACGCAAAATGAAGTAAGGTAAGATAGAAAAAGTAAAGTAATGGGGTTATCTGGAAACGTGTCCTGGGGACCTTCTTCCATGTGTGGTAGTCCCGCGAGAGATTTCGCCGGCACCATGCCCCATCTGGTCACGTGTTAGTGTGCTTTAAATCATGCTGGTTACGACCGATTTTATGCATAAGAACCGGAAATTCTCACTTTCGTTATTCATCGAGCATCAGATCCCCCCTAAAATCCAGTTAGTGCATGTTCATTCCTTGATATTTTCAGGTATGAGTTGAACATAACCGTTGAGGAAAATACATTACAATATTTCAGCAAACCATCTAGCGTTCCAGGTCCTGAGTCACACGATGTATGTATCCACGTGGGTGCTTTCATCAGGTCACCGATTTAGACACCAGGGGGTGTTAATCCCAGCCTTCGCATGTCCATCACTACCCACCTGTTGATTTCTACACCTTAAAGCTTTTACGTATCGCTAATTAATTTAACGGTTGTTTTTGTTACAGCTTTGGAAATGTCGGGAAGTGTGAACATAAAACAGCGGGCTGTTTCATGCACTATGAATAACCCGTCAAGTGACCAATATTCAGAGCAGTGAGTGACCATGGGTTTCTTTTGATCAATGCCGATACTGAGTGCTTTGTGTTGACAATGAACAGAAGATGCGGGTCTCTTTGATGAAGGTTATCCACGCGACTGCGCACACCATGTCCGTAACTGAAAATATCGAACAAATTCAAATGGCAAACACTCCCTTAAGAACAGATGAAAGCACGATTCACTTCGTCAACCCTGTTGGGGTTTCATCAAGACAGTTGCATATAAATTCCATCACGTTGTGAACAAGATCCGTTCTTTCCTAGAGCACGTTGGTAAACGACAACGTAGACTCCCATGCGCAAATCGATGGTAGGGAAGCATATGAGTAACCATGTCGATTAGGACAATCGAGAGACAAGTATCCGGAGAATATAGTTAGTGTGAATTGTCAACATAAAGTAATGAAAACGAAGTACCCATAAAAGAAACCCTATCTGGTAGCAACTGCAGGGTCCCATCTACTTAGTAGCTGGGCGTGTTGCAGTTACTGCCACCCTAGGGATATCAACAGGAAGCAAATTCCTACTTGGTTTGACGGAGTTACCAATTCCGTCGGGTGAGCAATTATTTTCAGACAAGGCATAAGATGATCCGCGTTAGCTGTTAAACATTTTAACTATCGAAATTCCATGTTGAATAAAACTATAGCAAATGAACATTTATTCACACACTGGCTCTTCAGCACTCTGGTAGATGAATTTTCGATTAAAAAAGATCGTTAAAAGACAACCTAGATCACCTACAATAGTGAGGACCTGCGAAATAAAATTCAATATTTTCTAATTGTATTGTTTTCGTCCCACTAGTTCACAAGCTACATAGCGCAGCATAGTCCGGAAGAGTACCAGACACGTTTCGTCCCATTAAGGATATTCAGTGGAGCGCATTTCCTCGGTTCCCTACTGGAGATCGATCCCATTACTGCTGGAGGCAGAAGCCAGCAGCTTAAGCCTCTGAACCTTGGGGGACGTCGGCTGCGCTACACAATTTGCCAGCTAACTGGGATACAGCACGATATATCTTCCTATCTTCAATATTTTCTGGTTATCTGCTCTGGGCAGTTACTAAAGAGTCTCGTTGTTACCGGAGTCAGCTGCGACTATTATAAATTTGTAATATGAGTTGAAAGCACATGAAGGTGAATATAAGCTTTCAGTGCAGGTTAAAGTGTAACG